GGCTCGCCGCGGTCCGTCACCAGCACCACCACCTTGTGCTTGAGCGCGTCGCTGGAGCGCAGCGCGCGGGCCGTCCGCACCTCGCCGGCGTCGGGGGAGACGCGGAAGAGGCTGGCGTCGGAGGCCTGGAGCAGGTGGTAGGAGAGCCAGGCGTTCTGGCCGCTGTCCGGGTCGTGGGCCACCACCTTGGTGACCAGGTAGTCGGCGTCGGCCAGGCGCGGGACGATCTCCACGGCCACCGAGCCGTTCCGCGGGGCCGCCGCCGGGTAGAGGATGACCGGGGCGTTGTCGTTCTGGTCCAGGACGGTGATGCTGACCAGGAAGGCGGCGGCCAGGGCGGGCGAGCCGTGGTCCTGGGCCTCCACCTGGAAGTGGAAGCTCTGCAGGCGCTCGAAGTCGAAGGCGGCCTTGGCGAAGACGGTGCCGGCCTCGGCGTCGATGGCCAGGTAGGAGGAGAGGGCGCTGCCCTGGATGTCGATGTCGCGCAGGAGGTAGGAGACGCGGCCGTTCTCGCCCAGGTCCGGGTCGGAGGCCGACACGTGGAAGAGGGAGGCGCCGGGCGGGTTGTTCTCCGCCACCTCCACCTGGCGCCGCTGGGTGAGGAAGCGGGGCGGGTTGTCGTTCACGTCGGCGACCTGGAGGCGCAGCGTCCGCCGGCTGGCCATGGGCGGCGAGCCCAGGTCGGAGGCCGTCAGGGTGATGTTGTACTCGGCCACCCGCTCGCGGTCCAGCAGGCCGCTGGTGACCAGCGAGTAGTAGCTGTCGAAGGAGGACTTGAGCTGGAAGGGCAGCTGGGTGGGCAGCTGGCAGATGACGCGCCCGTTCTCGCCGGGGTCGCGGTCGGTGATGCTCAGGAGGGCGATGACGGTGCCCAGCGGGGCGTCCTCGGGGACGGGGCTGGAGAGGGAGGTCACCACGATCTCCGGCGCGTGGTTGTTCACGTCGCTGACGTCCACCAGCAGCTTGGCCAGGCCGGAGAGGCCGAAGAGGCCCCGGTCGCGGGCCTCGACGAAGAGCTCCAGCGGCGGCGCCTGCCCGTCCAGGGGCCCGCCGAGGCGCACCTCCCCGCTCTGCGGGTCCAGGAGGAAGAGGCGGCGCAGCTCGGCCGGCGTGCTGTTGCTGAAGGCGTAGCGCACCTCGCCGTTGGCGCCCTCGTCCGGGTCGGTGGCGCGCAGGCGGGTGACCGGCGTGCCCGGCGGGGCGTCCTCGGGGACGCTGGCCCGGTAGACGGAGTGCTCGAAGACGGGCGCGTTGTCGTTGGTGTCCAGCACCGTCACCAGGACCTGGGCGCTGCCCGAGCGGGCCGGGCTGCCGCCGTCGAGGGCGGTGAGGGCGAGGCGGTGGGTGGCCTGGCGCTCGCGGTCGAGGGGCCGCTCCAGCACCAGCTCCGGGTAGCTGCTGCCGTCGCCGCGCGTCTGCATGGCCAGGCCGAAGTGGGGGTCCGGGCTGAGGGCGTAGCTCTGCACGCCGTGGGGGCCCTCGTCCGGGTCGTGGGCGCTGGGCAGGGCGAAGCGGGCGCCGGCCGCCAGGAACTCGGCCACGCGGAAGTGGTACTCGGGCAGCGGGAAGCGGGGCGCGTGGTCGTTGACGTCCAGGACGCGGACGCGCAGCTTGTGCAGCTCCAGCGGGTTCTCCAGCACCAGCTCGTAGCTGAGGGCGCAGGCCGGCTGCAGCGCGCAGATCGCCTCCCGGTCCACCGGCTCGCCCACCGCCAGCGCCCCGCTGGACGCCTCCAGGAGGAAGTAGGCCGGCCCCGGCCCCCCGCCCACCAGGCGCCCCCGGCGGGAGGGCAGCGCGGACGCCTCCAGGCCCAGGTCGCGGGCCACGTTGCCCACCGGCGCGCCGCGCGGCGTCTCCTCGGCGATGGCGTACTCCACCTGGCCCTGCGCGCCGCACGACGAGACCAGGCAGCAGCACGCCAGGAGGTAGAGCCGCATGCTGCCCTCAGCTCCCCCCGCAGCCGGCCGGCATCCTCCGGCGGGCCGCCACCGCCTAGCGCGGCCCCCGAGCGCCGCCGCCGCCGCCCGCTTCCATGGCTCGCCTCGCCTCGCCCGCCTAGTGCTGCTGAGCCAGC